TGGGGTCTCTATAGGGGTCTGTGGGGTTTCTATGGGGTCTCTCTGGGGCACTATGGGGGTCTATGGGGTCTGTATGGGGCTCTATGGGGTCTCTATAGGGGTTTGTGGGGTTTCTATGGGGGTCAATGGGGCTCTATGGGGTCTGGGGGTCTCTACGGGGTCTCAATGGAGGTCTTTGGGGCACTATGGAGGCCTATGGGGGGCCTATGGGGTCTCTGTGAGGCTTTATGGGGCTCTATGGGGCTCTACGGGGTCTGGGGGTCTCTGTGGGGCCCTATGGGGTCTGTATGGGGTCTCTATGGTGGTGTGTGGGGCACTATGGGGGCCTATGGGGTCTCTATGGTGTTTCTATGGGGGTCAATGGAGCTCTCTGGGGTCTGGGGATCTTTATGGGGTCTCTGTGGGTCCCTATGGGTTTCTATTGGTTTCCATTGGTCTCTATGGGGTCTCTATGGGGTCTTTGTGGGTCCCTGTGGGGTCCCTGTGGAGCCTCTATGAGGTCCCTATGGATCGCTATGGGTCTCTATTGGTCTTTATGGGGTTTCTATCGGGTCCCTGTGGGGTCTCTATGGGTCCCAATGGGTCTCCATTGGTCCCTATTGGGGTCTCTATGGGTCCCTCTGGGGTTTCTATGGATCTCCATTGGTCTCTATGGGATTTCTATGGGGTCCCTATGGGGTTTCTATGGGTCTTTGTGGGTCCTTGTGGGGTCCCTATGGGGTCTCTATGGGGTTTCTATCGGGTCCCTGTGGAGCCTCTATGGGGTCCCTATGGGGTATCCATGGGTCCCAATGGGGTTCCTATGGATCTCCATTGGTCTCTGTGGGTCTCTGTGGGGTCGCTATGGGGTCTCTATGGATCTCTGTCGGTCTCTATGGGGCAGCTACAGGGTCTCTATGGGGTATCCATGGGTCCCTATGGGTCCCTATTGGTTTCTATGGGGTCCCTGTGGGGTCTCTATGGGGTATCCATGGGCCCCAATGGGGTCCCTATGGGTCTCCGTTGGTACCTATGGGTTTCTATGGGCCCCTATGGGGTCCCTATTGAGTCTCTATGTGTTCCTATGGGGTCCCTATGGATCTCCATTGGTCTCTATGGTTTTCTATGGGGTCTCTGTGGGGTCCCTATGGGGTCCCTATGGGGTCCCTATGGGATCTATGCGTCTCTATGGGGTCTGTGGGGTCTCAGCGGGTCCCAACGTGTCTGGATGTTGTTTCCTATGGGGCGCCCCATATCTTCTCCCTCCCCCCCCCTTTTTATTTTAGGGCCCCCCCCCCGAAGCGCTCCCTCCCGGAAGCGGTGGCGGCCGCGCGGCTGCGGGCTTTGGGGCTGCAGCACGACCACAGATATGGCGGAAATGGGCTGCCGCAGGTGGGCGGGGCTTCGGGAGGGCCAATGGGAGGACGGGATGAACCGGATGGGTGGGGCTTAGAGGCCAATAGGAGACGGGATGAACCGGATGGGCGGGGTTTGACGGCGGGAGGGGCCAATGGGAGGACACAATGCCCCGGGTGGGCGGGATTTCGGGGAGGCCAATGGGAGGACGGGATGAACCGGAAGGGCGGGGTTTGGCGGGAGCGGCCAATGGGAGGACGGGATGTACCGGGTGGGCGGGATTTCGGGCAGGCCAATGGGAGGATGGGATGAACCGGATGGGTGGGGCTTAGAGGCCAATAGGATACGGGATGAACCGGATGGGCGGGATTTGACGGTGGGAGGGGCCAATGGGAGAACGGGAAGCCCCGGGTGGGCGGGGATTAGGGCAGGCCAATGGGAGGGGGATGGGATGAACCGGGTGGGCGGGGTTTGACGGTGGGAAGCGCCAATGGGAGGACGGGATGTCCCCAGGTGGGCGGGGCTTATTTGTGAGGCTGGCCAAT